CCAGTGAAATCCTCTCTGGGCCTACTGCTGCTGGATCTTCATACATCCTGAATTTCTCTCCTTGAGAAGTTCCCCTGCAATTAATTCCCTATCCCAGTGCCTTGCAGAGAGTCCGACACACAATAGGTGCTCCTCATTAGTTCACTCCATTATTCAACAACAAATACTTACTACCAACAAATACTTATGGAAGGAAGGATCTCCTTCCATAGCGAGTGAGCTCCTGGAACCAAGGACTCTGCTGGCCCGAGGCTCTCGGCGGCCCCTATGTCTATATTCATCTGTGCCCATTGCTTTTTTAATCCTAGGTGGAGGGTGGCTTTGGTTGGGCATGGGCTGGGTATTATTCTTGGTGGCAGGGACAAAGCAGTTAAAAGGCAACATCCCTATCCTTATGAAAGTTAAATAGCAGTGGAGGAAACGGCAGCAAATAAATGATTCCTACTCAATAAATATTTGTTGACTATAAACGACTCCTCTTTATGGCTTTTTTAGACATGGCGTGACAATTTGGAGTCGGACAGTCCTGGGGTGCGTGCCCCACTCCATCCACTAGCTTTGGGCAAATTACTCATCCCTCCAAGACTTGGCTTCCTCATCTGAAAGATAGGTTGAGTAAGTGAACCCTTCAGGTTTTGAACAACTGCTGATGCCCAAAAATTAGACCTAGCATTCATGGATGGGGCCATTTTTTGGCCTCAAATCTTAACCCTCAGAGCCCATCTTAAGCACTACCAACCTCAGCCCTTCTCTACTCTTCCTCTCACTTTCAGAGGTTCCTGTCTTTCAGTGGTGTGCTAGCTTAGCACCCAGGAAACTGAGAAAAAGTGAAAAGACCCTCATTTCTAACTTTGCTGACTTTTGTAGTAAACACTCGCATTACTGCGATTTCAAGAACTCGGAGTTGGGAAGAGAGATGCACAGTCGACTCTCAGCCAGTGTAAACTGGTGGGGGCCCACCACTGCAGCTTTAGATCCCCTTTTAACACTTTCCTCCAAGTTATTGATAACTAAAGGCCCGGTGCATGAATTCATGCACCAGTGGCATCCGTTGGCCTTGCCTGTGGGATCGGGCCAAAACCGGCTCTCTGACATCCCCCAAGGGGTCCCAGATTGTGAGAGGGCACAGGCCAGGCCGAGGGACCCCACTGGTGCACAATCAGGGCTGGGGAGGGACATGAGAGGTTGGCCAGCCAGGGGACTGTGAGAGAGCTCCAGGGCATGTCCAGCCCATCTTGCTCAGTCCTGATAGGCCAGACCCCAGCAGCAAGCTACACTACCA